ATCTCGGATTTGGATCGGCCCTCTCTGACCGATACCCGATCCGAGAAAAATGGCACTATCAGAGCCGATACCCGATATGAATATCGGATCGGCGCATCCCTAATTAATTGGAAGATTAGATGGGTGTACGCCTCCCGAAACTACGTTAATAACTTCACTAAAATAATTTACACACAATTGTTAAACAGTTAATGAGTAATAATTGTAAGTTATTATAACTCATATAATTATTAACATTTTTCTAATTTTTAAATCTTTACCTTGTTCAGTTTATTACATTTTTTAAATCATCAATTGAATGATTCAACAGATAATTTTGGCTACTTTTACCTTAAAATGCCTCTCCTCGTGCATAATTTCATGCTCTAAAAGACATTCAAAATTAAAATAATTTGAAATATTCGTTCTATAATTATTTACTATTTCAAGTTACAGTTAAAAGTGTTTTAAAATATAAATGGATTTCTACAGGGATTTAATCTAAAAGTGAGAGACAACATCAGTCACTGCAATCTAGAATGAACCATTAGTGACCACAGAGTGAACTACTTTTGTTAGTATTGAAAAGCGCTGAGAGAGTATGCATGCATCTCAGAAACAGGAAGCTCATTCTTGCCTGTGTTTTAAATTTCAAACACTTCTTGGATTGTAGGGTTATTTGAATATATTTTAGGGCTGGATGGGAGAATAAACGCAGATCAATCAAACAAATCTTCTTGGTAATTGCAGGTAGCACTTGACCATTGACATGCTCCTAAAGAAAGAATAAAAAGTAAATACATTGTTTTGGAGCAAGTCTGATTTTATCTTGGGTATTTTCTGTACTTTAGTAACACATGGTCATTATGGTATCTCATCTACCCACCAGGTGTTAAAGCAGCATGTCAAGGTCAGATTTCCCTCCGGGTTACGATGATTCGCGGCTGCTCTCTAACCCTCAGCCTGGAGGAGGTTACCCTGCTTCTGTCCCCCCATATGGCTTCAACGCATACGGGGGACAGCCACCTTACCCACAGCCCAATGATCCATACCGAGGCCAGCCTGCGGGATACCCCCCGCCAAGTATACCTGTCATCCCCGTCATTCCTCCTGGTTTAGGTAAGACTGTTATTGCTAGTAAACCTTCGACTTTTTACTTTTGCTATCACAGTGTTGTGATACATTAGAGAACAATATTGTTATGGCCTCCAGATCAGCTTTAGGTTTAGGATCTGGTTCATCGCTTAAACAATCCATTGTTCAGGAAATTGAATTTTAGCAGATCGTGACTGAAGTCAGCATTTTTCTTAATGCAGTCCCTATAGCCTAGCTCTAACCTGATTAGTGTTGATAGGCCAGTGATGTAGTGATTCATTAGATGTCTCTCTGGAATACTTGATTCTGATTGGTCAGTCGCAGCATTCTAATTCTAATGACACTTAAATAATTTACTGTTGTTCCTGGCAACTGATTACCTACGGATATATCTGGTAGTTTCATGTCTCTTATATCATTCCATGGTCTCTTTCTTGTAATGTAATAAAGCCATTTAAATGTCCATTTATTTATTTATTTGCCAAGTAGAGGGAAAATGTACAGCCAGCTGCGGTTACGATGATTCGCGGCTGCTCTCTAACCCTCAGCCTGGAGGAGGTTACCCTGCTTCTGTCCCCCCATATGGCTTCAACGCATACGGGGGACAGCCACCTTACCCACAGCCCAATGATCCATACCGAGGCCAGCCTGCGGGATACCCCCCGCCAAGTATACCTGTCATCCCCGTCATTCCTCCTGGTTTAGGTAAGACTGTTATTGCTAGTAAACCTTCGACTTTTTACTTTTGCTATCACAGTGTTCATGGTCCTGAAACATTAGAGAACAATATTGTTATGGCCTCCAGATCAGCTTTAGGTTTAGGATCTGGTTCATCGCTTAAACAATCCATTGTTCAGGAAATTGAATTTTAGCAGATCGTGACTGAAGTCAGCATTTTTCTTAATGCAGTCCCTATAGCCTAGCTCTAACCTGATTAGTGTTGATAGGCCAGTGATGTAGTGATTCATTAGATGTCTCTCTGGAATACTTGATTCTGATTGGTCAGTCGCAGCATTCTAATTCTAATGACACTTAAATAATTTACTGTTGTTCCTGGCAACTGATTACCTACGGATATATCTGGTAGTTTCATGTCTCTTATATCATTCCATGGTCTCTTTCTTGTAATGTAATAAAGCCATTTAAATGTCCATTTATTTATTTATTTGCCAAGTAGAGGGAAAATGTACAGCCAGCTGCCATTATTATCACAAATGTCTTTCAGGGTGAGACCAGGGTTTATTCGGATTGTACATTATCCCTTACATAGTTGGGTATTTCTTCAACTATGAGCACTTTAGGCTTTGTGAACTTTTAGAAAATTAGCTTTCAAGCTTTCACTTATTACATTTTTTAAAGTCATGAAAATTCCCACTATATCTCAAATCATTTGTGTTTAATAATGACACATTGAAGAATATTTTCACATTTTTGCCATACTTTGATGCAACTGGAAATGATTAAAGCATATTCGGTTTACAAGTAATATTTGATTTCTCTTTATTTTCTTCACGTCTCATATTTTATCTCAGACATGCTCTTCAATGGCACTGTAAACAAGTACACTAACGTTTAATAAAAAGCTTTATTGGGTAAAAATGATTTGGTGTGCTGGAAATGACACTCAACTGTGGGACAGTCTTATTTAAAAAAACCTGATAGAAATCATTCTCACACAAGAGATATTATGATTATTTGTGTCTTTGTTTCAGTTAGCATGGTTTAAACGTGTATCTATGCTCATATTTGTATGATGTATTTTTGTATTTTAAGATTCTTATACGTCAAAAGTGCTCAACGTTGAAGAATCTCCCGGTTATATGATGGTTTATTTACATGGACTGATCTGAATGAGGCCATTCATACTCTGCATTCTGCAAATAGCACTTCAGGAGATGCAGTTTTCACAGAAAATATGATTGTTACAGGTGATAATGAAGGATTTACCACAACAGGAGGATTTGACGATATTAGTGTCCGTCACACTTTTATACGAAAAGTAAGGAACCGTTCTTCTGTAATCTGCATAATCTTACTTCAAAGTAAAAGAGTTTTATGGTAATGTTACTCAGTTGCTATTTCAGATTAATGGATTTCGTGCGTGAATAATGAATATGGTCCTGAATGGATGAGTTTGGAAAAATGTTCTTTCTGTCTTGCAGGTTTATCTGATCCTCGGTGCGCAGCTTCTGGTCACAGCTACCATCGTGGCTATTTTCACATTTGTGTGAGTCTGTTAGGGGGGTGTGGTTACTTTCTGTGCTTTGTGTTCACACAAAAGGATAAATGTTATCTCTGCTTGTTCAAAGGTAGACTTTGTCCTTAAACTTTAATGTATGTTTTTATTCGCACAGGGAACCTGTAGGAGTGTTTGTGAGGAAAAATCCAGCCATTTACTGGGTTTCATAGTAAGAATGAAACGATGCAGAATACTTCATATTTATAACATTAAATACAAATGTAGTAAAGTAGAACAATGTGAATGACTGTTGAAACGATTTTTTTCAGTGCTGTCTATTTTGTCACTCACTTGGTATTGGTTTGCTGTCAGGGACCCAGGTGAGATGTTTGCCCCATTTTCTGAATCAACCTAATAATAAACCGAACAGATGGCGATATTTTGTAATGCCCGTAGTTTAGTAATGTGACACAGTACGAATGAGGACACAAAAATCATACCAGACATTATAAACAAAAAAAATCATTTAATCTAAAAATTAAAGCCCTCATAAAAAGAGCCACTGTAAACATAAGTTGTAATGTGAACCAGTGAATTTAGCCCTGTCCTTTGTCACACATTTTAGGAGGCGTTTCCCATGGAACCTGATCCTGTTGGCCATTTTTGTGAGTTCTGAGTTATTCTGTAGGAATTAAGAGGGAGTGTGGCCAAACCTGTAATGGGCAATGTTGTTTTTACATGTAATGCTGTAGACAAAGTATCAAGGACGCTAAAGTCTTTAAATAAACATTGCCTATTTTTTTCTTATTTTAGACACTGGCCTTATCGTTCATGACTGGAAATATAGCAAGGTGAGACATGTCACACTACATGTATGTCTCGGTGGTGAGATACAGTGGGTGGGGAAATGGGAAAATAGCACGAGTCTCAGGACTGTTGACGCAGTGTTTTAATGGATGTCCTGTAAACCCTCTGTTTACCTTTTGACAACTCCTTTGTCCATTTAGTTTCCAATGATAGAGTGGTTTTGTTCCCACGCCATTACTATTGATGTGTTTTGATGTGTGTGTATGTATACACTTTTTTTTTTTTTTTCCAAACATTTTTTTTATACATTTATTCAGCATGTACCAGGAAAAATTAATTGAACAAAAATGACAGTGAAAAATTCTATTTCAAATAAATGCTGTTTGTCAACTTTCTATTTATCACTGTATTGTATCAAGTAAATGCAACCTTGGCAAGCATAGAGACTTCTTTCAAAAACATTACAAAAATCTTCTAGAGCCCATATTTTTGAATGGTAGTTTATTTTGCTAATAATAATTCAGAGTTATGAATATTATAATGTAATTTTTTGTTTGTAGCTATTACAGCACTAAGGCAGTTTTCCTGGCCCTGGGCATCACTGTTCTTGTGTCTGTTGCGGTGACAGTGTTCTGCTTCCAAACTAAGGTGGACTACACGCATAATTTGTACACCATCAGCATGACTTTAATGTTTCAGCGTATGTTACCATGCTTTTCTCTTCTTTTATAGGTGGATTTCACTAAATGTTCAGGTTTTTTCTGTGTCCTCGGAATCGTAGTGTTTGTGACTGGCATCATCACGGCTATCGTGCTGTCATTCAAATACGTAAGCATGACTTTGCATCTTGTATTTGCACAGAAATTGTCATTTGATCATTTACCTGACTTTTTCACTGTTTGTTTCAGATCCCATGGCTTCACATGCTCTATGCAGCAATAGGGGCCATTGCATTCACTCTGGTATGTCTATTCACTGCATCACATTGAATTCACCTTTTCTTGGAATACTTCAGCTTTGCATGGGAAAATTGCTCACTCGTTCAATCCTAAATTCACTTCTTTGCATTTGTGTGTTTTTAAATGGTTTAGTTTCTGGCCTATCATACCCAGCTGCTCATCGGGAATAGGAAGCTCTCCATCGGGCCAGAGGAGTATGTGTTTGCGGCTCTCTCCCTTTATGTTGACATTGTCCAGATCTTCATCTTCCTTTTGCAAATTATTGGATATGCAGAGAGATAGAAGCTTTAAGCTGGCCGATGGACCTTTTCTGTTTTGTCATTGTTTATGCACTGTGCAGTGTCTTCTCAATCCAGACCTAACTAACATGTACTCAAATAATACAGAACTTGTAAAACATATCTAGCTTTATACTGCTGAAACAACTGGTAAGGAATGAATATCATTTCCATGATTTACTAACAATATGCATATGTTCCAATAAAATGAGTGATATTATATAGCCATTACTTTGTCATGGAAATGGAAGCTGTCTATTAGAAGTGGATCTGTATTAGGCACATTTCTACTGTATAGACTTATATAGCTATATAGCTGTATTTACTAAATATATTTCATGTGTGTGTGGTACATTTTGGTCGAGGGTATAGCTTTTCTGCTTTGTACATACAATAACTGTATTTTAGTTTATGAATTTAGAATATTTATCACAGATATCTTTATATACAATATAAAAGTCTACATCAAATATTGTGCTTTAATTTTGGGAAATAAATTCCTTTACTTAATGAATTTGATACTACACTTAACTAAATGTCACAGATTATATGATATACAATGGTGCCTTTCCTTTGTTTGGCACCAATGATACACCATGAATAAATAGTCATAAAAAGTGTTAACTACATATAAATGGATTGTTATATATTTGAATTGTATAAACAAAATAAACCTGTATTTTCTGTTACAATGTTCTCATGCCACATGTTGAACAACAATGGCTAAAGTTTGATATGTAATCAATGTTATTGTGAGGATTATCATAATAAAAGGAACACAAGTATTATTTAATTGACTTTAATAGTTACTAGTGGTTGCTTATAATGGTGTTCTGTATGCATATGAACAAGCATGGTGATGACCGCATCAAAATATATAAAACATTTCAAACAGGCAGCACTGAAATCCTTCAGTTGAGGTCTTCATCAACTCCTCATCCATAAGATCAAAAGATACACCATAATAAATGCTTGCTTTCTACAATGTCTTTGTTATATCCTGCTCAGTTCACAGTTTCCATGGCAACCCAATGATTTTGTGCATAATGAAGCCATTCTCTAGCACAATAGAGTCATTTTCACAAAGTACAGCTTTCACTGCATCCTGGTGGCTGGTTTATATTGCTCACTATCGTAATCTCCCTCAGTGGCTTTCTTCATTCTCTGTCTGATTTTCAGCTGCTCGAGTCGGTTCTTGTCCACCTGTCTCTTTGCCAGAATAAAGCCAATGATTCCAGTAGGCAGGCCGATCATCCTAGAAGAAAGCACCTCAGTGTCAGTGGCCTGAAATTCTTTTCACTACTGGTTTATTCTGACAGTACTAACCATGCATATCCAACTTTCATCAGTGGATTTTTGGCCTTTCTTTTGGGGATGTACTCAGGCCTGTTATCTTCCTCCTCCTCTTCATCTTTCTCTTGTTGGTTGGTCTTGTTTTCAGGTTCTGGTGCTTTCTGTGTGTTTGTAACTTTTGGAGACTCTGTCTTGGTGATGGTTTGTAAAGTGTAATGTCCGCAGTGTTGAGCTCTGCCGTGCAAAACATTGTCCTGCAGTCTGGGACGAGCAATGCTTTGCTCATAGCGAGATCCAATCCATAATGTCCTATTTGATAACTTATACAAACCTGAACAAAATGGTAAAGATGTTAAACAATGTTTAATCACATTCAGCCATACTGACCTACTAGATCATATATAGAGTGTTTTGTGAATAACAAGATATGAAATAAAATGGAATGCAGTGCTATTAAGAAAGTAGAGTTATCTGTATGCAGAGGAAGTGTCTGGTCAGGTTAATAGGTTTGCGTATAATGCTGGTTAGCGTTAAGAATCAAGTGGGCACAGATGATGTCAGCGGTTGAATTACGGGTTAGGAATGGATGATGGCTTGTAGATAATGGGGCCAGTTTATCATCTGCATCGCAGGCTAGCACTTATTACTGTAGATATAGATATGGATAATGCTCATATTTACATTTAGCAGATGCTTTAGTTTAATCCAAAACCATTTATGTTTTATTATGGGAATCAAACCCAGTTTTATCCCTTGTCTACATTGTTAGAGCTTATTAATGCCAGTAGGTGGCGACACGTGACTGTCTTTATTTAGTCATTGAAGAATTGATTGATTCATTTAACACCAACAACTGATTCAACAACTGAACCAAACTCCATTGCTGTGTAATGCTCGGAGACTCGCAATGGTTGATTCTGCTTTGGCTTCGTTTGGAGTTGTATTCTGTCTAAAATGTAAGTTTCTCAATATTAACTTATGTTAATATTGTGTGAACTGGTGTTGTACACAAGCAATAACGGTCTAAGTATCAGTATGGCTGCAATTATGTGGATAACAGCTTAACCACACTTATACTGATACTCGGGATAACATTTTTGCTCATGTAATATCACTTAATAATTCATCAGACTGATGGGATTCCCTGAAATAGTGGCATCTAATCTACCTACTACATGTGAGATTCTGAGTCTGAACAACAAGAGTAGTTAGTCTTCCCAGAGTTCTCATTAGCCATATTTATTTTGAACGGTTCTTTGCATACAACTAAATGCAAGTAACTTACAGTAAATTATTGTTGCATGAATCTCCTCTGTGCCTGTCAAGCTATCATTTGGCAATGCACCAGTAATTCAAATTAGTAGAGGTGGTTTAAAATATTTCATTAGTAAGGTAATAATGTACAGACAAATCATTCAGATGTATCATGGTTTGTAAAGCAATTTATTAAATCATATGTTCACACGTTTATCTACCTTGCAAAGTCGACCTCATCAGGTTCCTACAGTGCGCCGCCATCTTTGTTGTGTAAGCCGGAAGAGAAGCACGTTCGTTCACGTGACTTTGTGGCGCACTATGACGAGCGTATTCAGTTCGTTTAACCAAAATAATTTTATATTCATTAGTGAAAATACCCTTTTTAAGTTTTAAAAAGGTTGCTTATCTATAATTTAAAAATAGTTCATTTTAGAAATTAATGTTCTGTAAATACATTTTTCCAACAAAGAACTAAAAATAAACGTAGCCAAAATGAGACAATTTTTCTTTTTTTTAGTTTGAATTTTTATTAATATATGGAAATGCTCGATTTAAAAATCCAAGGTATGAACCGACAACTGGCCAAGAACATTATAAGTGATTTCCAAACATGAATAGCATCTCATTTGTTTTAAACATATAAATGATGACATGTTTTTCAGCAAATAAACATGTTATTATTTATTGCATAATGAACACAACTTATATTGACATTACACTTTGACAGCACTTAACAAAACATGATAACCTATATATGCAAAACACTGTATGCATGCCCATTACTAACATTCTAAAATGTTCTAAAACACTAGAATAAAACCAAAAAACATATTTACAAATTTTTTTTTTTTTTGCAAGGTCACACAAATCCTCATAAAAATGAGAATGGTTATAACCATCCTTACGAAGCAATGGAAAAACATTGTGGGGAAAATGCTAAAAATGTACAAAAAGAGAAGGGACTGAAGACATCCCTTACTTTGAGTTAATACAGCAGAAAATGTCAAGGTCAAAATGTTTAGTCATCAAATGTGTAGTTGGGGTTGACCACCAGTGTAACATCTTTCTCCTGGGATTCTGTTCCACTGGACTCAGCTGATCCTTTCAGCCCAGACTGTGTCAGCTCAATCAAAATATAATCCTGATGAAGATAAAAGTGAATATTAACACTTAATGTTGTCTCAACACAACATATTCACATATAACTTACACATAAAGAGATTTAAATCACATGAAAATGTTTCCTTACATAGTGAACCAGTCTGTAGATAATTTTCTCTATCATTGCCTTCTTATTGATGAGTTCCATTTCTGAATCGATCTCTGATTCGATTTCCTTCAGATACCAGTTCACTACTTCACTCTTCTTAAGCGCAGTCTCGTCCTCGGCTAGGAGAAATGGCACAATGCAAATTAGATTCCTGTGGGCTGTGCTGTGTTGTCTGAGCTTGTCATGTTGTAGTTTGTGTTAAAAGTGCATAATAATTGCTGAAATGACAGTTTGTTAAGACTTGTAGAGTGCTCACCTTCCTCAGCGCGACGCAGATGTAGCACCAACAGGTTAGAAATGCGTTTATACTCTGCAAATGACAGTCGCAGCGAGGGTTTGGCGCTCTCACCGTTGACCCTGTGACCGTTAATACCATTTGTATGCTCGTGACCATTCACTTCTCCATTAACATCTCCATTCACACCGTTAGGTGCATCATGGCCTAAAAACAGCAAGAAAACAGAAGTATGTTTAAAACAGTCATACTTTTGGACTCTTAAGACCCCCTTTGTCCAAAACAATATTCAAGTCTAGGCTTAAATGTACATCTAGTTCTTCTGTTGTAATAAAAATATGCTCAAAAACATGTTAATGTTGGACATATTTTTTGTATTTTAAAGGGATAGTCCACCCAAAAATGAAAAGACTGTCATCATTTAGTCACCCTCACGTTATTACAAATCTGTACGACTTTCTTTTCTTCTGTGAAACACAAAAGAAGATATTTTGAAGAATGTTGATAACAATACAGTTTCAGATCCCAACATTCTTCAAAATATCTTTTGTGCTCCACAGAAGAATGTACGTCATACAGGTTTGGATCAATATTAGGGTGAGTAAATGATGACAGACTTTTCATTTTTGGGTGCACTATACCTTTAAGTAAGAATAATATGCCTAAACTCTAAGACATATTGGGGCCCCCAGTTGAGAAATATTGGTTTAGAAGCATGTTGTACTAGACTTAGATTTATCAAAATTACTTTATTTAGAGGCTGAATGAAGTGTTTACACGTCTAGAAACAGAGAATGACTCTACCATTCATCTGATTGTCATCTTCTTCCTCCTCCATGGCCTCCTCTTCCTCCTGGTCCAGATTAATATCAGGAGTCTCGACCCGAATAATAGATTTGTTCAGTAGCCTGAAAGCCTCTTTGACATGCTTTGGCTGAACCTAAATGATAGAAACAAGAAGACAGAATTAAGGAATAATTGGTTACAGGCTGTTGAATTATTGAAAAATAATACACACCCTAGGTGGTAATGTGCGTCTCTCAATTGTGTTCAGCAGCAGCGTGCGTCTCTTAGAGAAACTGTATATTTAACTGCTTTTAAAACAGTGATGTTACCACCTTGCTAGTAAGAAATGTCTTGTAGCTTTACATTTGCAAAAAAGTCAACTGTGGGGCAGCACTGACAATACGTTTTTATACATGTGTATGTTTTTCTGTGTGTCTGTACAGTATGTGTGACAAAGCATGCTTTCCATTGATAAGAGGTAATTAAATTGGAAAAAGATGGAAACTGTCTGTCATTTTTAACCTATTGTTAGTCATACTTGTTTGCTTAGTGAGTGTGGGTTTTGGTTCATTTTCTTTTATAGGCTGAAAGGACCTTTGAAATAACTGAAATAATTTGGTGAATTGATATGGATTTGTAATGCTGTCGACAGACCTGGAACTACTAAATAGCTTAGAACATTTACTAATACATTATTAAAATCAAAAGTTTGTCTGTTAATATTAATGGACATGAGCTGACAATGAACTAATATTGATATTTATTTTAGAGATTAGCTAACTAAAATAATTTCAGGAAACAAAAATCATGTTGTCGTCTTTCTCTTTTTTTTCTTCTTCCATACACACCTCATCACAACAGTGCATCCTTGCCATGCTCTCAGAAAGACGAATCAAGCTTTCCAGCTGCCGTACTGTGATCCTCCAAGCTGATTTAGTGACTCCGGAGCCGTCCCGCTGTCTCAGACG